AAATCGGCGCACTAGCGCCATCTAGTCTCGAACCGAAGAACTAAACTTCTTGAAGTTTAAAACTCGAATTCTCGGTACCTTGCGCGTGTTTACTTGAACATTCTGGATATTTTGCTAATTTATATAAGTAGGCGCTGCAAGATGCGATCGAAGTAGTTGAACTCGGCGACACAAGCGAAGCTTCGGAGCGGAATTAAGTGAATTAGTGTGTTTAATTATTAGTGTTTTTAGGTTTTTAGGTAATTTTATCGGCAATTTTTATTGTCACGAACCTCAAGCTCGTAACAATATATAGGACTTCAACCCACCACCCCACTATTGTAATGCAAATTCTATAGTATTGCTTTTGTATCATTGAGTTTATTATCATAAGTCCCTAATATAGGACTAGTCATTGTGCTACATTACTTCAAGCAGTCGGGCTCCCGACCACCCCATATATATGTACAACTGCAGGTATGTATCTCCGGCAGCTCCTCCATACAAGACATCTATACATGAACACCTTCCACAACTTAGAAACATTTTCTTTTATAAATGACACTTGACAGCTAACGTCAAAACGACATCAATTCGCCATTAGTGTTGCAGTTTTTGGTAAGAATTAAATATTAATACCACTTAAATAAAGGAAAATTCGTGGATTTGAATGACCAAAATGGTGTAATATATTATTTTCATTTATTTCCCTACTTGTACAAAACCAGGCCTACGCTTCATACAAATTTGTATCGTCTCCTTTCTTGTATGTTAAATGCAAATATCTGGAAAATCGTTCGTCATCATCTAATAAGCTTTTAAGTAAAGTATAATATACATATTGTTGTAGTGTTATGCTTACATACATACTTACATATCATTTTACACTATTTTATTTTATTTTTGGTTGTTTTGTTGTAGTTAGGTTAGGTTATTTAGTTTTTAATTGTCGCTTCACGACAATGTACCGTATATATGTACCATAGTACGAAACGAGTGGACGTAGTTTTGATCGCTCTTCAAATATTTACGGTTTTTTTTTTCGGTTTAAAGCTATAACTGTATTAAGTGTTGCACGTTAAAACATTGACTAGTGTTGGAACTACATATTGTGACAATTTTCGCGAACTGAAGTATTGTTTGTCTATCACTGTTAACTAAAATAACACGGCCATTGTGCAAGTGAATCCGAGGGTGGCTTAAAAACAAAAACATTTGTTTACTTAATATCGGCTATCGTTCGTCATAATGACCAAATGCGTGTGTGTGCGTTGGATTTAACGCGTACCAGTCACACTACGTCGAGATACGAAACTCGTGCGGAAACAAATTCATGTTTTTGTCAACTCGTTCTAACGACGACCAGTTTAATTCTAATATATTGTTTAATTCTAGTATATTAACTCACCGTTCATATAACGTACGTTAGGATCCAATTGACTTCAGAAACTAAAGTAAAACTATAAAATAATAAATAATGGCTAACAAAAATTCAAGTCATTGGGGCTGCTGCGAGACCGTAAGTGCTGACACTAACTTTATAGACTGCACCCAATGTATTAATGCCTTCCAATATGCTTGTTTAATGCTTGGTGAAAAATCAATCTCCCCGGAAATTGTTTCTTCATGACTTTGCCCAATTTGTGAAAGTAATGTTGCAAAGAAGAACAAAAATGACAATAGCACGGAATGTATCGATAAAAAGACGAAATAAAATCGCACCGAACTTACCACTAAAATTGAGTTGGAACCAAATGTTACGCACGCCGATGTACGCGACATAATACAAGAGGCTATGGAAACTAACTTTGACAGCTTGATAACTAAATTCAATAGCATGTTGGTGTCTGCATTGAACTTCAAACTGTCACCGATTGAAAAAGAAATAGCGGAGATAAAAACATTAATGTCATTCATGGATGACTCTTATGAAAAAATATTAAGGGAGCAGGAGGGAAAAAAACAAATTAAGGAAATGTAAAGGCAAAATGAAGGCCTCAAAACCACGGTCTTCGACCTTACCACCCGAGATGCTCACCTAGAACAGCAAGTTCGTTCAAAAAATGTGGAGATACAATGATTTCCAGACAAGAATCACACAAATCTCATACAAATTGTAACAACCCTTGGTAAAACGATAGGCTGTGATGTTACGGATGCTGATATTCAACACTGCACTCGCTTAACCAAAATTAATCTAAATATATAATAATAGACAATTGCTTCTACTTCTATTGATTTTCATGTTCCTGGGTTATAAGTATTGCCGGATCGGCAGTTGCATTGTATCGGTGAAACAGCAGCGGACTGTAATGATGTAATTTAAGTCAATGATTTCCGTAAATGCTAGGCATCTAACAAGTGTATGAATAGTGCTTTTAGTATTATTTATTTAAAACTTGCGATCTGCCCCGTATTCGCGCACTCGTGATTTCAGGATCCCGACCACAGTGCCACCTATGGGTCAAATAGTGAATCCAAACTATCAAGGGACCCACTTAAACATACCACAAAAAATTTCATCAATATATATATATATATATATATATATATATATATATATATATATATATATACAGAATGGGTCCCACATATATGCAATAAATGAAACCACAAGTAATACTAGTCCGTAGAAGTGTAGAAAAATTAAATATTAAATTAAAACCCGTAAAATAAAAACAAAATAAATATTAAAATAAATTCAGTAAAAGTGAACACTCTGTTTAGACAACGTACCTTGACCCCTTGGAAGAGTGACAACGTTGCACGCGGGTGGCACGCCGACGAAAGACACCGCTGTCGATATGTCGCAATACCAATAGTTTGCACTTCGTGGCAACGTCGCTTTTTAATGTTCAAGGATTCAAGTTCATTGAATCATTGACTTAGTGACCCAATTCTATAGAGTGTTCAAATTTGCTTAAAATTAAAACTCTACTTTTTGACCTAATTACTGGACCGATTACGTTCATTTTTTGTATATCGTCAGCAAAGGCCATAACAAGTATATGATTTCATTTATTGCATATATGTGGGACCCATTCTGTATATATATAATACGTAATTAACGCACGCCCTCAGATACCCCAATTAGTATATTATGTTATAATCATAATACATACACTGAATTTTAAGTTAAACATGTTTATGCACTGATTATTTATCAAATTAATTATACTAATTCCGTAAGAATGTTGTGGTCACAGTACAAATCCACGAACGAAGTGGTTGGATCTTCTTGACATTTACTCAAAATTTCTTCATTTTCTGTGACATGGGGTGGTCGGCGATTAGGGTAGCGCTGTAGCTATTCATGGCGAGCAGCTGCAGCGTCACCGTCACAATATACATAGAAATAAAAGATATCTGCGTGTTCGTCATTGGAAAATGATTGCCTTGCATGATCTCCGCGTCTTGGTGGTTCCGCCGCCATAAAACTTTGAAACTCAACTTCTTTAAGTGTAACAGGGAGGGATATGCGCGCGTGTGTACGATTCCTGTAATTCTGATGACTGATTGAACAGTTTCTTCTTGTTTAACATGTTTCTAATTTCACACTAAATGTAAACAATAGCGTAAGTTCAAACGCACAATCTTTTACGAGCATTCCCGCAGCTGTTGATAAGGTTCTGAGAAGCGATTGTTTGGGATTACCCAAAACATTGCTACTCGGAACTTGTCTACCTGGCCCCTTTTTTTCAAGTTTTTCTGTACTATTTAAGTTACAAACTAAATTGATACTTCGTTGGGTAACTAGATAAGTAGGGCTGTTTTTAACATTATTTGCACAATTGGTCACATACAATTATTTTTCACAAAATCATTTTTATTTTTAATTACTTATCTTCTGTTTGAAAAAAGTTGTACTTTTAGTAGCGTTACTTCAAAAATGATGAGACTTTTTGCACACTGTAGTATTGATAAATAAGTATCCAGGTTTCATTAAGTAAAAATAATAAAATGAAAATAATACAGCTGTAAGTTTTTTTTTAGATATTTTTGACACCAGACTTTTGGGATTTTTGAAAAAAATAATTAAACCTAAATATCTCTAAATTGGTCCACATTTGCATATTGCATTTTATGGTTCATTTGATAGGTTATGACCCCAACTATCACGCCTTGCCGGGAATACGTCTTACTGTTACCAGTAACCCTGTATATTAAAAATGATAGGATCGATTCAGTAAACGATTCTGAACAAACTACATTGTACTCTGAAAGTGCGTCAATTATGTTACCTAATGTGTATATAATATATATAAATAAAAAAAAAAAAAAAAAAAAAAAAAAAAAAAAAAAAAAATATACAAGGTGTAGGTGTAAACACCGTTGTCACTAAAATCATAGGTAGTTGGCTTTAATAAAAAAATATTTATCCGAATTTAAAAAAAAACGCTATTTTCTTTCATAAAATTTAAAAAGTTTCTCTCCGACACCGTCCGTAAATTCATGGATACCCTATGCGCCCGAATGACGTAATCACTGTAAAGATCACCGCCTGATATATATGTGATAGAAAAGAAAAATACATTTTTAGATGTATGTATATATATATATATATATATATATATAGATAGAGAGAGAGAGAGAGAGAGAGAGAGCGCGATAAGTTTTCCTTCTCTTTGGGCATTATCTACCAGCGAACCACGAGCCGAAAAAATAAAGTTAAGTAGGTGCCGTAAAACATGACAATATGTTTATGTAAATATAAATATATATATATATATATATAAAAAAATACATATAATACCTGATAATAGGATACGTAATTTTAAAATAATGCATTCTACATACATATAATATGCAAACTTACACAATATATTTTTAACAGAAAATGTAATTAATATGAACCCATACATAAGTAGAAATATTTAGGAAAGTTATCCACTCAAAGAAGAAAGGTTAATGATAACACACCATTGTCTTAACAGAAGTTGGTTTCTTAATATGTGGAGGTAATTTATTTCCAAAGCCTTATGACTTCAGCTGTGAAAGACTGTTGTTGTTGTGTTTTTCAGGTTGCGTGGTGCGTTGCTACTGGGAGGGGTCGCGGGCGGGTGAGGCGTGCGGCGCGGGCGGGGCGGGCGAGGCGGGCGCGCCGCTGCACGCCGTGTGGCGAGCTCGACGCGCGCAGCCGCCGCGCTCGCAGCAGCTACGCGCGCTGCTGCTCACCGAGCACGACTCGCGCGCCGCGCACACGTGAGCACGCACACGTACACATGCATACACGAACGTGTACCCACGCACACGTAAGCGTACACATGCATACAGCGTACACACGTGCACACTTAAGTTGTAGTGGCGGCACAAAAGAAACTGCTATTCCATATCGCGTGTTGTAGAAGGTGACAGAGGAAAACGAAACAGAACATGAGCAGCAGCATCATTCTGATAACAACTCGAAATAATAAAAACCGCCTATTCTTATAGTATAAAATACTTTTATACTTCTTTATTTCCTACTTTTAACTTTTGTATTTTGTATTTGTTTTTTAAAAGGAAATACAAGATACGAGAGTACTTTCGTACACACATGCATAAGTAGATAAACAGGTAGAAATGAACTCTCACAGGTACACACACGTATCCCATGCCGACTCTGCCACTCACTTTTGCAGCATAAATTTCTTTTTTCGTTTATTTTCTTTTCATGTTCAAGCCACCGATGCATTCCTTTCTTAATAACCACAACATCTTCTTGCAAACTACACTTTCCTTTATCACTCAGCTTCTCACCCATAACATTCAACGTCACGTCAAACATACTTCTTAATGACCTCACCCCTTTGAAAGTCAAATTCTACGCCATCACTTCAAGAAGTCCCTTTTGTATGGAGAACTTGTGATGGCAAGAAACTCACAAGTAGATTATTCATTCAAGTTTATTATGTCCACGCATTCTTATCCTTTAAATAATCATCTAATTTATAATATTCTTTCTTCATATGAGTGCTTTTACAGTCACTTTGCAAAGAAAAATCAGTAATATTACAGGAAATTTTGTTATAAATAGATATACCCAAAAACTAGTATGTACTAGTTTTACGAAATCTGTACTTTGGAGCAACAAGTTTAAATTTATTAAAAGTTAAAATTATGGGTAACAATCATTTTGTTCGAGGTGTTAAAACAGTTCCTTGCGTAAATAATATTGTCCTAAAATCCTAAATGAATTCTGAGGCAACAGTTAAGACGCTTATTTCCTTAAAAATATCTCTGAGTGAGTCCTTTGGTTTAATATTGTAAATAGCACTTATAGCTCTTTTCTGTAGAATAAATATATTTTCAATATGATGGGCTAAACCCGACAATAATAATCCATATTTACATTAACATGCGCAGATGTAATGATTTGTTTTAACTTTCTACTTTTATATTGTTTTAATTACCCACATATTCTAAAATATAATCCATTACGTTATTAGAAATGCATCGTATAAAATGTGTTTTATTTTGTTTAATAGAGTTATATTGGCGGTGTTAGACGGACTGCTAAGTAATGACTTGTCGGACGCGTTGCGAAAGCTCGCTGCGTGGCGTGAGACTTCTAGTGGCAACAAACGATATCCGTCCTTCTACAGGTATGTATCACCGGAAGTTATGGATTGCGTATTATTCTCTTTATAGTCGTTAGTCGCACTTGATTGTTATTAAGTGTTAAGGGATTTTTTTTAATTATGTTATTTTTATTTATTTATAACGAAGAAAAAGGTATATATTACTGTCAATAAAGAAGCATGGTAAGTTGTAATTTATGATTTTAAGAAAACACTACTTCAATCAACTTACTCGTCTAGTGTGGTGAGAGTGTGTGAATGCATGCTAGCGGGTACATTTTAGCATACACTACGTTTAGTAGAGAGCTTAAAAGACTGATAAAGCCATATCAGAAAATGATTTCTTTGGCAGTTTGGACACGTAGAATGAATGAGAAAAAAGATAATTTATGCTTCAGCAGTGAATGTGAGAGTCGGGCGAGGGACGCTCTAGACGGAATTTTATCGAGTGTATTGTCGTGCGACTGACTTGTAACGAAGGCGTATGAGACGATGCTTATACATTGCACCGGATCCACATGATCAGCAGCGACGCATACGACTGGATCAACGAAGCGGTCGAGACGTATTAAGGGTGATGGTGTGCGCGTGCTATTGCAGGGACATCGTGTTCCTGGGTATGTGCGCGCTGGGCCCGCAGAACATCGACCTGGTGGCGCTGCAGCGCGAGTACACGCGCGCACTCGAGCAGCTGGGCGGCGACGCGCGTGCGCTCGACCTGCCGCCTTCGCCCACCGCGCTCTGCTGTCGGCACTACTTCAAGCGCCTTGCGCTACCCCGCTAGACCATTGGGGGGTTAACAAAAAACAACACTGAGAACGAAAGGAAAGGGTGATAAACCATTATCTATCTTCAAAGTGGATTGAAAGGGGATTCAACAAATTATAGAGTGTACCAAACGGACATAAGAGGAGATGGTTTCAAAATTATTCAATTCAAAAGGAAAGAGGAATTTTATGCAAAGATAAATCAAAGTCGTTCAAACATTATTATTCTGACAAATATCATTTCTGAATTTTTACGTACCCTCGTCTAATAACAGTCTTTAAGTGGAAGGATTTAAAAAATAATAATTATAAGTTGAGTTAGATGACACTTAATAAAATGTCCTATAATTTGCTTTCATAAATGATACTACATAAAAATGTTAAAGAATTTTATCTTATCCTAAATTAATTATATATTTTATTTATAGTATTCCACTTTGAAAATTGAAATCGTTACCTCACCGCACTTATAATAAGTTCTACTTTTAACATCGCTAATATTCTCTTAAACTATTTTAAGTAACCTTGATTTAATCCACCGTTTAAAAAAACTAAGAGGAAAATAAAATCACATACTCCATATTCAGATCAAATTGTTTCAAAGCTTGCTACTTACTTTTCGTATTTAGATTGAGGATAATTAAACTTGATAATGTTTTTGTGATAGGAAATCTGTTCGAGAACATTGCTTGGTCAGTACGCGAGTGACAACTACTCTTAGTACTGGAGCGGTAACAGGAGAAAATTTTCGGCATATTTTATCTAGTCCGTGATATTGCCATTCCCATTACTGTTAACAGAAGTTCATGGTTAGGCTCAAGGGTGCATAATTTTGAAGGTTTATTTAATTTAGATCCTTTAACATTCGGAAAAGCCAATGGTGTTGATTCATTCATTCGAATTACGTGGTTATTATTTTGCAACAGTAACAAAAGGACCTCGTCTTCAGAATCGAAACCGTCATTATATGAATGCTACATGACTAATTATTTTGCTTTACCTCTTCCATATTGTCCTCCCGTTGGTCTGTTTCTAGTATGCGAGTTGAAAGCTAGGAGTAATTACATAAGCACGTTCTAAAATATCATTTGGATTAAAAAGAGGAATACCTATTATCTTCTTTATGTAGTTGTCTATCTTCTTCGATTAAGAATCTAAACAAAAAAGATATTATATATTTCATATTACCAAAATGGTTCCATCTCCATACTGCCTTATTCACTGGCTGCAACTCGTGCATGATTTTGCTCAGTGGATAAAAGAGCGTAATGATATGTTAGGTATATTCCCTCAGATTAAATATTTGCAAACTTAAACATGAAGCTGGAGCCTTAAATTTCGATAGAAATACCTAAAAAAACTGATTCAAAAAATGTGTATGTAGCTCACACGCAGTAGAAGTGAAACTTTCAAATGAAATAAAATAGATGAGTAAAATTTTAATTTTATAGCAAATAAATTTTACAATCCTTATTTTTAGACATGTAGAGCCTAAATTTTAGTGTAATAAATCAAAATAATATTTTCTTTCAAGTGAAATTACTTTGCAATAGTTGCCATCTACTTTATTTTAGAGGTAAAATCATTTAATCAAACAAAAATTGATTGACTTTCAAAGTGGTACGTAAGGTAGACTTTAGGTGTCCTAAACAAGACTAATTTAATATGATATTCTATCTTATTTTCTCGCAGACTAAATCTATACATGTATATATTTGTTATCACTACAAAAATAAATTAAGGAGAAACTAAACTAAGTTACTGACATGGTTAGACGGATTATTCGACTAATGTGATGATACACTGCCCATTCCAGTTCGTAGAACCGATAACCGATGGGGGAACAGGATTTCGGTTGGCAACATATGCTTTGTAAGTAGTTGAGTGACTGACTAGCAGCAGTCGGGCAGGAAATCGATGGCCGCAATTAGCTCAGCACTACGCTTTGTAAGTCTTCGGGGAAGGCCTCTGTTCCGCCATAGTAAAAACCGAATAGTAGGTTAACGCCCGCGCCGCGCGATACTTAAATGCCTACTGTTGCAGTGTCCTCACTGTCTTTGTTTAACAGCTAAGTCTCATTTAGTTTTATAAGTAGTTATAATATTTACAAACAAGGTGGTGGCCGTCCTCGACTTGGCCAGACCTTTCCGACTTAGAAAGTGTCGTTACATGCGTGCTGGTAATACATATTAGCGGCGTTTGGTACATTTCATAGAAGAAAGCCTGCTATACTGATTTTACTATGGTGGTATGGTACTTATGGTTGTAAAACGATCAAGAAGATAAGTCTTGTAGTGGCAAAATATAAAACAAAACCAGGGGAACTATCGTTTCCTCGTTCGTGGTCGTGAGTAATTTACTCCTTCATAGATTCAATTAATGACCTCGCTCATTTTCATGTCTTAAAATCTCTGTTAATTCCATTCCATTCACACGTCTCGGCCTACACGTGTCTGATGTGAGGAATGTATGATCACATCGGAGGTATTAGGACTTAGTTTTTTATCATCAAAATAAAAGTTATTCATAGGATAAAGTACAATGGAACAATTTAAAAATTACAATTATATGAATAAAATAGTTTAATTTTATATTAATTTATTAACAACCTTACAACAGGCCACTGTTGAATATATGCCTCCCCGATAGATCGCCTCATAGGGGGGATATTTGCGAAGGCGATCGGCATCGGAATTTTATAATTTGTCCGCCTTATTACAAAACGTGGATTATTGATAGTTGATTTACACCAAGTCCCGAAAAACTTTGAAAATAACAAAAGCAGGACCCAAAGCAATAAGTTATTTTTAATTGTTATCATGAATATGCTGCTGTTCGTTTCGTGTTGCGGTTTTCTCTGTCGCCTCTGACGATACACACGGAATGATATGGGGTAGTGTATTCTCTAACGCCATTACAACACGACAAAATAAAATGAATTAAACTTTATAACACGACGTACAATATTCAGCAAAAAGTACCACATATTGAAGTCCGCCAGAAACTGATAGCACAAGCAGTACGCGAAGTACTGCTTGTGCTATCAGTTTCTGGCGGAACGCGGCACAAGTTCCGCGAAAATAAATACAAAACAAGACACCGTAAACGACGCGATGTTCCTAATAGAGATCGTTTGTTTTTCGCAGATAACCGACATGAGTAAGTGACAAGTACATTTTGTACCACTTTGACATAAGACCTCCCAATGCCGTGTTTTTACCACGGGCGTACTTCACGAGATTTTAGTTCAGAACTTGGCAGTATTTTCTTTGAAATATATTTAAACGAGTGTGTTATATATTATTTATATTAACACTTGAAATATCTCATATTTTGTTATATATTTTACTATACTGGCGTAAAGTTCTTCTTCAAATTGAAATTGTTGGACACGTCTTGTAGACAATAAAGTCTTATCTGTTTATTATATTATGGCCTAAAAGTAATTAAATGCCCCAAGTAATCATGAAATATTTGGTATATTATATATAAATATATACATAAATGTGTTTTAAGTTTGAGAACTTGTAAATATAATGAAATCTATTTTGTTTATTAAAGTTTAACAAATCGAAATGTAAAGCAGAGAGTACTTTATCATTTACATATAAATTTCTTTTGGTAATGATTTTTCCGCCGTGCCTTGGTAGCTCAGAGGTCTCTAACTCTAACTCGTAAATTTCGCAGTACGTGAGTAATCCGGATTTGATCTTTGTTAGAGCCAATGAAATTGTTACAAAGACTGAAGCTGAAACAAAATCATATTTCACCCGCGCGTCTAGACTGCTAGAATATAAAATTGAGCAGCGTTTGAGTATTTGGGCATAAACGCTGGTATTTTAAGCACCTAGTGTAAGATGCCGTTAAGTCTCGTGGTGGCACAGTCACTTTGACTTGAGTAAAACTTAACATCTTAAAATTGTGCAGCTTTTGAGTAATTTGACCGTTAGAATGATAATGAATTTTCCTTAGATATCTTTGTTTTCGTTTTTAAACTTTATTTTATATACTAAAATTCAATTCTATTTTGCGTTACTTTGCTTTCTGCGCTACCTGAAGTACATCGCGAGGAAACCTAAATGGCTATAAATATTTCGAGAACGTATAAAGTCTACTAACAGCCAACATGCATTAAAGCAGCTCGGCGGACAAATTGTTCCATAACACTTTCTAAAATGAGAGGAGGCCTGTGGCCAACTGTAGGATCGATAATTATTATAGTCTGCAACGTTGCGTTTTTATACTATCTTTCAATCTATTGATCATCTGATGACTTTAGGTGAAACTTAACCTTATACACAATATGTTTATTTTTGTTAATTCGATATATATAAAAATTGTGAAGTTAAACTTACCCTACATAATAAAATATAGAGGAAAATTGTGAAATTAAGTGAACGCTAATATTTAATATACCATAATGAATACATTTTTTTTTCGATTCGGGGATTGTTTTATCGATGTATTATTAAATATTGTATGATTAAATATCGATTTACTTCATAAAACAAAAGATATCGTGTGTACTACTTAATTTACAAACGTGGTTTTAATTATGTGCCACTCTAAACATATGTATTTATACGGTCACAATTTTTTTGCATAAATATAAAATTGAAAACTTCCTACGATAACTTTTAAAAAATTGTATCTGCCAATGTATTCACATTTCACCATAACTTGTGGGTGCTAATTAAAAGTATTTCGAGTAGGAAAATTGGAAAAGAAATAATGTACATATATACGACTATATAAATGTATAGAATAAATCTAGGATTACGAAATGTGATTGTATAAAAACTTGATTAATGATTGAAATAATTACAATATTCCAGAAATCTGAATAATATCACAATATAAATATTATAATAATGCCCTCCCTTAATATAAAACAATATTCATTTATATTAGCCATCTTATATTAAATGTATTTACTGTAGGGATACTCATTGCAACTGTATTTCTAGAATTTAATACAAATTGCTGTTGCACTATGTTATAACCGTAAATATTGCGC